AAATCAATTATGATTAGATCCACTAAAAAATATCCTTATTACATATTTATTGGAAACAATAGTAGGTTTTTAATTTTATGAATTGTTTTAAAATTTTCTATATAGCTTCATGGTGAATAAAATAAACTAATGTATTAATAGTTAAATATTATAGGTTTCAATTGCGACAATATTTTGTTTGTAATTAGTTTCTTAGATAATTACTCTAATGTAATTTTTCTAAAAATTTCTCATCTTCTAAGCAATTTTCTACGTTTTTTTAGTGGAAGTCGAACGCTGAAGGATATGATAATACTTGCGTTTTGGGAGATTTTGGTGTTCTAATTTGTAAGTGAACATGTTCAACTATAGTTTTCTATATAAATGTAAAATGGTTATAAGTTAGAAATCTAAATGAAAAACGGTTATAAAATTAGAAACATGTGATGAAGTCTTGTTAGAATATATAATTCTTTCAAAATTAATTTTTTAGTTTCAAATATTTTTTAGATAAAATTTCAAATATATCTACTCAATCGACCTAAATATTAACGAATAATGAAGAACACATATTAATCACTTTAAACTTGTAAAATTTTGATCCAAACTGGTAATATTTGAATTTTACTTTCCAACAGAAAATTAGCTTCGTAGAAGTTTTGTACCTTCAAAAAATATTAAATTTGAGATTTTGTTGCTGATTATTAGCAGTTCATATACAAAATCTCTCTAGCACCTAGTCTAATTTCTTTTTATATCACTTGAGTTGATAGTGAACTTTATTGACTTTTTTATTGTTTTATTTGACAACAATCTATTGAGTCTCTCGTTTAAAAACTAAATCTATTTAAAATTAAATACGTTAGTTTTTTGTTAAGTCTAAAGTGTATAAGAGATATTTTTTATAAACATTTAATCGCTACAAAGATCGACTATCTCACTCGAAACTATATATAAGAAACATCCTATATGCAGTAATTAATCGATATACAAAAAAATTCGTTTATTTTACATCTCTTGCGACTATGAACATATCACATTTTTAGTTTAACATGTTTGCTTCTACACGACTACACCTATTTTTATCTGAATTTTATTAAACGCCAATATTTTTATCATTGATTTTTCTAAGCTTCTCCCACCACCGCATGCGCGCGTGGAGCAACCTAGTTCTAATTGTATGCACGTGATTTATGTTGAGATATGTGATTTACTTGAGATATGTGATTTACTTGAGAAGATTCTTTGTCTAAAAAAACAGACTTATATTATATGCATGAGGTAGGCGCAGGCCCGAGGGCAAGCGGGCCAATCAATCATAGGCTTGCGGCCCCAATTAATCTATATAAACTACCGACCCCAAATTTAGACAAAAACTCCTTGTAATCTAGTGGTAGAGTTTGAATTTATGGCTACCAAGTGCCGTGTTTAAGCTTTTTTATTATTTAACTTTAAAATCAACCCAAAATTATTTTTGGCTTGTAGTCCATATATTCTAGTTAGACGTTGTTTTATGTCAAGAACCTACACATTTTTGTTTTATGGATTATACAGTAAACTGAATTTTTAACCAAACCTAATTATAATCAGACCAAAATATAAATTTAGTAAGAGAAATTTATAGTTATACTAGAATCGAATTAACCAAATTAGCAATAAATATTAAATATAAACAATTCACGTAAATCTATAGAACAATAAGACTATGGGTTAAGCAAATAATTTTTAAAATACCATGTAAAAAATATATAAATTGACAATATAAAATTATAAGTCACATCTG